TGCAGCCTGGTGCAAAGCAGCGTCAGATGCTTCTTTTCCAATTTGGTAATGTTTTCTAGCAAGCTTGCTCTAGTATAGAGATTTGGCAGCCTGCAGGAGAGCTGTGAATGGAACATGCTGTTACGACATTGGAAATCTTGGGCAAGACGTTCACCAGGCATAAGTCAGTAAAAACCCTGTGTTTTATAGGTAATGAATCACCTCTCATACAGAGTGACGGACACTGTGATAACACAGTGCAGCGTGTGTGTTACTGACCAGTACCAAAGTACTGCCATGGTATCATGGGATCTGCAATGCTGGGTTTGCATCCTGCCCTTTCTTGCTCCTCCATTCCTGCTCACATCATCTGGCCCTGGAGAGCCTCTGCTCCTGATGCCTTCCTCTACCTCTTCCACCCAAGAGCTGAGGAGCCCCCAAGGACTGGATCGCCATCGGGGAGGGAGCGTAGGAAAGAGGATGAGTGAAAGAGAATTGCACCCCACCCTCCTCTTTTGGCTGCTGATGCTCTGGGAGCTGCTGGGTGGTCTCAGCCCTTGAATAATGGACTGGGGAGGGGGCTGTGTGCACTGAGGGGAGGGGGGTCAGGGCCAGACTCAGTGCAGCCTTGTTCGACTCGAGGTTCAGGGGGAATTTCGAGGGACGAGTGTAAACCCCATGGGCAAAGTGAGCTGGCTACAGCAAGGAGCTAGCATGGGGAGAGCAAGAGGCCAAACGCCTCTGAACCCCACTGGCCTCACACTGAAAAGGCTCTGAAGTATCATGACATAGTTTTGGCACTGTAAGTGATTCCAGTAGCATCACTCATCACCGTTCCCACGGTGATCTGGTATGTAATACTCTGTCCATTTTTTAACCCCTTCTTTCTCCCAGAGAAGAAGGAACTAAAATGAGGGGTTCTGCACTAATTTCAAAGTGGATGCCCTGAACCAGAGTGCACCAAAATATACATTGATCCCACTCATTCCCAGCACCACCAGTGTAATGTCAATGTTTTCTATTACCAGTGTGCTTTCATTATGCAGCAGTTACATCTATTTTTACCAAGCTTGGATATTCAGGGAAAACAAATGAAAAAGAGTCTAGAAGAATTAGGTAAGGAAAACCAGCTAGCCTGATGCCGAGGTTCGCAGTTTTAATCTGTTGAAGCAGGAGTACATTAATCTACAGTAGTGCCATGTGGATGCTTTCAACTTTTTCTCACCACATTGTATTATCCCACCACTGCCCACCGGCAGCTTGTTTTGCGCCTTCTTCGTAGCACCTTGCACTGAGTCTGGTCTCCAAAACCAGACTGCAACTTTCCAGATTGATCAGGCTGTGTCACTAAGTGTATGATACAAATTTTTTCAGAAGAGAATCCTGGTGATGAAAAGGAGAGGATTCCTCTGCAGGAAACCATTAATTGCCTCAAGTCCCCTCCTAACCTACAGGATTTGAGTCTACAGCTCTGCTCTTCTCAGCCTATGCCCTCACCGTAGTCCCGTCGTGGGGCTGTGCTGCCCCTTGCAGGCACACACTGTAGCCAGGAATGCAGGCACAGTGGATCAGAAAAAGTGAAGAAAGGAGTCTGTTTGTGTACCCCACTAACTAGTCTTGGACAGTACTGGGATTTTTTATTGTTATGAACATATCCTACCTTCAGGATTTCCTGCCCTCGCTATAAAATGCATATAGATGCAGACTAGGTCCATGGTCTGAGTTTTGAGACCATAAGCTGAACTGATTTCTTCCTTCTTTATTTTTGCAAGGTAAAATAATTTGTCGTGTCTCAGTAGGGCCAGGATTTCGACTGAAGATTGAGAGAGCTGAGGCAAGGTTCAGAGTTAGACCCAAAGCTGTAACAGCTTGGGAACTGTCTTTGGACGCTATTCTTCGCCTTTTCCCTGGCTCCTCCTCTGACCAAGCACTTCTCTGTGTCTCTGTCATCTCTCTTTTAAGACAGGTTTATTCTGCTAAACCACTTTAATACAGGGCTTTGGGAGAGGCTGGAGAAAGCCCTTGAAATACTGATGGAAAAACCATTGCAGTTCTCACTTTCTAGAAATGTCCATATATAGCTAAACTTAGGCAGTCTCCAAGTGGATTTATTTATCCTAGCAGACTGCATGTGCTGTGGCTTTCTCCAACGATACTCTGCTCCTCAGGTTTACATTCCCAGGGGCTGAATCCTGAAAAGATCAGCTTTGAAGAACATGTTGTGACATATCTCGGCCAAGAAGTACAAGTCTCCCTGTCCTGGCTTTGTATCCTGTCTGTTGTCAGATCACCTAAAAGGAGCCTAATCCACTGCCGTTAGTGTTACAGACTGGCAGCAAGATGAGACTAGCAATGCTTTGTGCAATGTGCATACCACATATGCATAGGTGCCTGTGCTGCTGATGAAATATAGCCCTTTTTAGCACCTTTCCCCCCAGTATTTCAGTTGTTTAATGTATCTATTAACTTTAAGAGAAAATGTGAGAGGAGGAGAAATATTGTTCTTTGTGGAGAAACTGAAGCATGGCATTATGTCACTTCTTCCCAGTCTCTTTGTAACTCACTGGTAGAGCTGAGGAACAGTTTGGGTCTCCTTGTTCCCAGCTGTTTGTGCAAGACACTGCCCGCTGCTGCGGTACTCCTGATCTCGTCGGTAATGCTGCTAGTCTGGGTGATACTGCGTTTGCCAGAGTGCTTTGGTGAGCAGGGTGAGTCGCTGGCAGTTTAGCTGACCATGGGGCTGTGTGTGCTCCGCGCAGAGGAGTGCCACACATGTGCCATGCTCAAAGCGTGTTTGTTATACCTGCCTCGTGTCCAGGCTTGATAGCAATCCCACCTCCTGCCAGGGCTGCATACGATGGGGTGGCTCACAGCAGCCTGCCTTGTTCCTGGCTCTGCCCCGGCACAAAAGCCCTGTGTGAATTTCTGCCCCTCACAGCGAGTCTAGGATTGCCAAGTTCCCAGAAAAGGCCATTCCTCCCGCGGTGACAGAGCAGGGCTCCAGCCCAGCCCAGTACAAATTCCTTTGGGAGATCCTTTTTTTCTTTTGGGAGCTTCCCAATGACGCTGCTGCTTTTGTCCCTGTCCCCGTTTCTTCCCTGTGACTCCAGCTGGCCCCTGTGCAACCCGCTCACCTGCTGTCTGAAGTGACCTTTCTCCCGGGTGATGGGTAGCTGCAGCTCTTAGGTTTTTTCCATGAGCTGTTGCCCATTGTCTGAAGCGGGAAAAGCTCACCCATCAGCATCTGGATGAAGAAAGCAGAAATCTTGCCTGCTGTTGTGCTTCTCACTTGCAGAGAGGTGGCCAGCTGTGACGGCTTCCAGTTACCAAATGGCTTTCCAAGTGACTATAAGTGTCTTTGCAAATTTACCAAGCCTGCTTCTGGGACGGGGCCAGGACAAGTGTCCAGGACAAGGCTAGGCTGGTCCACAAGCACCAAGGCTCTGCAAGGGGCTGTGCAGCTCTGCCTTTGCTGGCAGGGCCACCTTCTTCTCTTACCACCC